CAGCTCATTCACGAGGTCGAGGTCGACTCTGAGGAAGATGCGTGGAACATCTTTAGAGATGACTCTCCACAGGCTCATTCATCGCCCTTTATGTTTCAAATTGATGTTGTAAGAACCATGTCAGATGGTCAGCTGTTTCTGAGCTTCACGTTCAATCACTCTGTTATTGATGTGCTTTCGATCACTCAATGGTACCACGAGCTCGATCACTGGATTCAAGACATCAATACCGATATCCCAGCCTTGACCCCATTTCGATTATTCTCCGATCTTTTCACGCAGTATGAAGACAGCGAGCCTGCGCGAAAGAACATTGCATTTCACACACGCAGACTTCGCGGAATCTCTCGCTTCAGCGGCGCCTTGTGGCCACCTCAGAAAGCCCCTGGCCTGTTGATTGCAAACGACGAAGGCTCTCCGCTTGTAAAGGAGCGTCGCCAGGTTCGTGAAAAGGTCTGGAATGGCCAGTGGGATACTCGCGCACACGAGTTCCAATACCCCCGTTCTGGTCGAGTTCTTGCATTGTCAAGTCTCGCAAAACTACAGGATGAATACAGCATTCATCCGTCACTTTTCACCAAGAGCGCCATAGTTCTGTTCAATGTTCTCCAGACTGGTTCATCCCACGCACTGCTCAACGTCTGGGAGAGCGGACGCTCTTGGCCTTTCATCCCCAAGTGGATGGACAAGCTTCTTCCGCCAGCAACGAGTATTGACGGCCCTACCGTTCAATGGGTACTGAACATGACTGAAGTGGCTCGTAACGAGACTGTGCTCGAGTTCCTCCGGCGCATGTTGGCCGAGAGTGAAGAGACAAAGGAACACGAACATGTTCCCTGGAACAAGGTTGTTCAAAACCTCAGTGACGAAGGGCCAGCTGCAGTCGATGCATCATTCAGACAGTCTCTCGTTTGGGATGTTTCCCTAGCCATGAGTCTTGCTAAAGGACCTCAATCCAATTTCACTTTTCTCGAGCCCCTTGCTCGCTATGACTGGCCTGATTGGTAAGCCTAAGTCTTTCTACTCGTGGACCTACAACTAACACATTGGATAGTGGATTTTTCTGGAACGCGTTTATGATTGATTCAATCAACCTGTATTTTATTGCTTCTTGGGACACGGCGCAAATGAACGACAAGGAAGTCGAACGACACTGCGATGATTTGTCCGATGTAATGAGAAAACTGTGCGATGAATGCAACTGGGACAAGAAGTTGAGAGACGTGTTTCGACTGTGAGTAATAATGGGAATATGAAGGAGTTGTTTGGGGTATTACATTGGGCATGATGCTTCAAGCATATGAGAGTTATGACGGGTATCATGATGGGGTCACGGCAGAATATTGGGAGGCGTTTTCAATGTCTTTGTTGTTATTTATTTCCTGATCGTTTACATTTTGAGGCCAAATCATGTCAATTTGTTCTATCCAGGTACCACAGGGCAATATGCCCCTTTCAACACCATTGCTATACATGTCTAGACCTGAGCGAGAAGGGTAAATCATAGCAACCAGTGTGTTTCTCTCTTACTCAAAAGGAACATTCAATCATCTCAGCCTTTACGGGCCCGACTCATAGATGAGTCCTCCGAGCTCTTCGAGTCCCGTTTCCAATATGAAGGATGCAGAGGGCTCACTCCCCGGTTCGGATCAGGCCGAAACGTCGTCAGTTTTCTGAAGCGCGCAGTCCTGGTGAGTGGTTCAGGAACCGTTTCGGGAACCCAGAGGTCACATTCTTCGCGATGTATTTGAGTCCTATCTTTCTCGCTAAAGGCCATTGCCTCGCTGACGATACCCATGACTTCAAGGACGATAGAGGAGCGAAAGTTCTCATGGCAAAGGGCATAAATCCACTCTGCTTTAAGCTCATCAGCAGTGTTGTAGTCCTTCTTGGGGATAAAGCTCTTGATATCATCATCCATGAGCGCAATAGCAGTGTGGAGAATTCCGCAGTCTGCTGCTCCGGGACTTGCTGGGCTTAGCTGAGGTTCGAATTCATTGTAGACATGGGAGAGAAAGTCTTCAAGGCGGATAAGACCAGCCAAATCTCGAAACTTGAGTCCTCGATCCTCAGAGCGTTCCTTTGCATCTCTTCTGATGGTCAGGTGACGTGTCCACAGCTTGTCCTTGTTGTTGGGGCGCTTTATGGGAACCATGCACCCGCAAAGCATCTTGGGTGAGTTGCCACACGTCCCCATATCGGTCCGAAGACGAAGTTCCAGAGCACGAAGACGACGACTAAGTGCCTGTAGGTGGCTCTCTGCGAGGACTGGGTGATACTCTGGTCGGAGCTGAGGAAGCATGCGACCAACAACAACATCAAGCATAAGGTCAACTGCAGTTCTCAGAACTTTGATATCAGAAGTGACACAGTTCGGCTGCATTCGAAGCATAAGATCCCAAAATAGCTGGGTTGAGAGCCAAAGATCTTCGTATCGAGCTTTGACGTCGTCCATCTTTTCGCACTGATCGTGAACCTTCGCTAGGAATTGCGGTCCTTGGAGGTTGAAATCTCGAGAAAAATAACCTGCGATCGGTGAGCGAAATTCTCTAATACTGAAAAGCTGTAAGTCTGTAGGGCCACCGAACATACCCGCCGGACTGGCAATTCTCGAGTCGACGAGTTCTCGAAGGTTTTGGTTAACGGCTTGCGGGGATGAAATAGGGTGAGTTTCCTGGGTTTCCATATTTCGCTCGGAGCTCTGGGCCAGCTGGAGCAATCGTCCTCCTAGAGATCTATGATCTAGAGTAAAATAGCCAGCATCAGTTGAGCGAGGGTCGGAGATATCAGGCAGTCTAGGGTCGTCAGGGGAGCCAAACATACCTGCTGGGCTCTCGATTCTCGAATCAATGGTCTCTGTGCGAGGCAGACTCCCAGCCTTCGAACCAGGACGAGAGCCTGACGCGCTTGGGGCGTCTCCCCGAGAGGTAGGTCTCGAGATCATTTGGAATCAGGCTTGATAGAAGCTGAAGGGGATGGGTTCGGAGGGGTTTGGGAAAGCGGATGCTTGAGAAGTTCAGACGGAATGGGCTCGTCAAAGACTTCAGTAAACTTAGACTTGCTAGTAATACTTGGCTTGGTGGAATTTGTAGAGTGACTATTCAACTCGTCGCTCATCCTCTAAAGAATTTGGGTTGAGTCAAGGTCCTTCAGGGCAACATGTGTTGGTTTCTGTCGTTATATAGTCAAAAAGTGAGAATTAGCCTAGTAATCCTATATTATTCTGTGCAAGTGAATTACGAGTGTTTTGGGCAGGACACACTTACCACCTCGAATATGATTCATCGGCTTTGCATCCTAACTTGTCCAGATGAACCAGGCCCTTCATCCAAGATCTTACATCAACCACATTAACATTTCTACTATACGTTCACGCATAAATCATCTTCACAACTGAACTAGTTTCGCATTCACAGGACATGACTGATCTTTTAACATAATCCTCAAAGGGCAACAGTTCATCTATTGAACAAGAAGCGAATTCACCACACCCTCTTCGTGTTCAGAGCCTTTGTTCAAAAACCCATCCCGCTCACACTCCCGTTGTTCCCGTTCTTCACTGAACCGGGCTGGTATAAGAATCTTCTGCCTCTCGACACCAATCGCCTTGGGCGCTTCCTTCACATCGCCAAATTTGACAACAACGCTGAAGTTTTTGTTTGCTTGTAGGCCTTGTCTACTGAAGGCTGCTACCTCTTGTCACACTTATCTGATTCCCAACAAGCCTCCAAAAGCTTCTTCTCCCATACTATCTTGAAGTTATTCAGTCCTTCTGTCGCCAACATGGGTTATCCCAGCGGTCGCGAGCACTACTACGAACCTCTTCCCCTCCGTTCTGGGACCCAGCCATACCGTGCCCTGCTCTTCTCGCAGCGTCATCGTGACAACAGGCCTGAGCCCATCGATCTCAGTCTAGTCGCCGACTTCGAAGAAGACAATCTCCGTCTTTTTTGTAAATCACCTCCGGGTCCCAACACTGCAGAGTTACAAGCAGAGATCAACGCAGAGTTCGGCGCTCTGATAGGAAACAGCAAGCAGCCCGGAGGAGAATATTTCCCTCAACAGAGAGCTCGCCTGCGCCATGTCCCAAAGATCGAGCGTCCTTCGGTTAACATCCTTGAACCTCCTTCTCGCGGATATTGGGCACCTCTATCTTCAAGCTTTGAAATGCTCCCGTCTGATGGCAGCCCATCACTAACTTCAGAATATCATACTCCACCCCGAATTCGAAAAGGCTTCCCTAGAACTCTAAACATCGAGTTGGCAAATCAGCTTGAAGGACCCCCGTATGGAAGTAGCTCATCGTCGCCTCAGTCCGGTTCAGTCTGTTCATCAGACAGCGACAGTTCCGTTCTATGGATGCGTCCGCTAGAGCGCATTCCTCTTCTCCCACCCACTGCCAGATCACCACTTTTCGATGCCGATACACTGCAGCCTATCGCCCGACATCCCTACAGACGCAGTTCATCCTTCAATGGCCGTCATGGTTATTCGACTGCAGAGGAGCACAGGTCATGCGAGGAAGACACCAAGGACACATGGGGAGGTGCATGTCTCGACTGCTTGTTCTTCGGTGTCTTGTTTGTGTTATTCATGTCCGCTATCTTTTCGTATGGTTGCATCGTGCTATTGTTCTTCCGCAACTGGTCACGTACATAGCGAGCAGGATTATGAGTTTAAAATTTGGGGCAGGATCAGCTATGTGCATGGCAAACTGGGCATAATGCATCGAAATTGCGTGGCGTTTGGTGTGTATTGGGGCATTTCAAAAGTCTCCATTGATATATATATAGACGGACATAACTCGTCAGAACTGCGAGGTAATAACTAAACAAAGTGTATTTATTTGACCTGACCAGGGCTACCATCTTGTGAATGAGCAACCATCTAAGTATATTGTGCTAATATGTCCGTGGGCATCAAGCACTGCAGGGCATGCTTCCCAGTCAACTACTTGTACATGCTGCCAGATTAACATTAGATTTCTTCCTCCTCTTTATCTATCGCTTGTTCTCGTTTCCCGGTGCTAATCTCCATGCCCGTAGAGGTAGACTCTGGAGATGTAACACCTTTGGCTTGATGTACCAGAAGAAAGTTGCAGCACCAAACAGGACACATAATATGTTCACTGTATAGTATCCGTCGTGGATCATGTGGCATGTTCCGCCGCCGGCCTCACATCTCTCCTTCTCAGACTGTACAGCGCATGAGAACGCATCTTTGATTAGTGTGCCCTTGATTATCGTGGCATCTGGCTTGCCAGGCTCGCACGTAGCCACAGTGAAGCTATCAACGAGCCGAAGTACGAAATACCTGGGGAATGTGCCGCCCAGATTGCAGACACTGTAAATTGTTAGCTTCGTGGCCGCGGCATATGAGTCTGTTACTTACGTTGCAAGGAGAGTCATGTAAGTGCCGCCAATGACGGGATCAGACACCCGGGCATGGAAAGCAGAGACAGCGACAAACATGATTGTGTTTGTGAATGTTGAGAAAAGGTGTTCAGCGATAACCACCAACAGATACCATGATGTAACTCCTTCATCGGGGAAAATAGCGACGACGAACTGGGCGGAGAGAGCAGCAACAAGTCTGCCCACAAATCCCCAGCACCAAAGGCGCATCGGTGTATACTTTTGTGACCACATTCCGGCATAGTAACCCAGTCCAATCTCGAATGGGAAGTCGATGAGAACCGTCAGCGCCATGTTGTCCTTGCCAAAGCCCTTGTCGAGAAGCTTCAAGTTTGTAACGCCGTCGTTAGCCTGGAAGCCAATCTTGGCAATCAGGTGAACAATGATAATGGTCTGGACGTTCTTGAGCTTGAGGATACCCCACATGATGCGGTAGACATCCCAGACACCATCTTCGTTCTGCGACTTGTCCTCCTTCTTCAAAAGGCCGAGTCCCACGGTGACAATAATGTATGACCATCCCCAGAACTTGAGATATCCCCCCAGTGAGAGAAGACCATCATCTGAGGGAACAGCCCTGAACCACTTGTTGGCAAAGTCGGCAGCATTGAAGGCAAGAAACACAGTGTATGACATAAAGTGGCCAGCAGTGAGTCCAACAGTCTGCGCAGTTGAAGCGTACGATACGTTTCCAGGCGTCAGAAGAGTGAGCGCCCAGCCGTCCACGGCGATATCCTGGGTGGCGCACATGAGGACGAGAAAGAACCACCAAAGCATGAACGAGAACGCTGTCATGCCGCCAGGCTTACCAGCGGTGGCCATCATGTCTTCCACATGAGATCCTAACCAGAGCATACCAAAGCCGGAGAGAAACTGAATCGGGACGATCCATGTCTTGCGCCGACCAATCTTGGGACTCCAAACAGCGTCCACGAAAGGACTCCAGAAGAGCTTCAGAGAGTAAGGGTATGAAGCGAGACTGAAGATACCAATTTCGCTGTACGACATATGATTCTTGAGCAAAAAGGGCACAGAGCCTGTGGCCAAGCCCATGGGGATGCCCTGCAAGAAGTATAGAAGCACCAGGAGGAGAAAGTTCCTCTGGTCTTGTCGAGGAAGATCGAAGAAACCATGGTTGTTAAGAGAAGGGGTCTTGGGGATCGGATCGTCGAGGGAAAAGGACTCGCTCTTGACGAAGTTGGCCGCAACGTTATCGGCATCTGGGTTGGCCGCCTTGCGGCGCATCTCTACTCCGCTGCTCATTTTGCCGTTGCCGTTGAGGTGACCGTTTCCATTCGCATCCTCTGCTTCTGTCTTGATCGTCAGGGGCGGCCGGGCGGGTTTGTTTTGAGGTCGTCGAGCCCTGGCGGTCATAGGGGCCAAGAGTAACGAAGAATCGAGGCTACGGCGCGTACAGTATAAAGGAGAGGTAGTACCGTGGAAGGATGTAAAGGGGGGTTGAACGAATGCGACGAGGCGTCAAAAGCGTCAAAGTCAGATGCGGGTGGGTTCGAGATGTCTTGTCGTGACGTATGAACTGGAGAATTTCAAGGATAGGGGTCGTAAGTAGTGGAAAGCCAAGAATTAGAATTCGAAGAGAAGTGAAGAATAATGTTTGTGAGTGAGTGAGTGAGAGAATGTATTGTAGTTGAAGGAATGAAGAAGAAAAGGAAGTCTGTATTTGTCATTTCCTGGAGTGCTGAGCTAGGTAGGTATAGAGGGCCAGTAAATCTGAAGTGGGCCTCAGATACAGAAGGTCACTGCTGGCCTGTGTTTCGGATACGGTTTGGCGTATAAGAAAAGGGAACCTAGCAGGCTCCCGCTACCGTGGCCTTTAATAGTGAAATATGATTGGACTGTTTTCTGAAGATGGATGGATCTAGGATCTCGAATGGGGATAGGCAAGGATGAATCTTCTACCTGGCCTTTTTGAAAAGCTTCAGTGGCGACAGACAACATCTACGTAAGAGATATCTCAATCAGATAACCGTCGGAATATTCTTAACCCTCTATAAAAGTATTCAAACTGATAAATACCTAAACTGACTCTGAACCCAACAAGGTGCCACACTCACAAACCGCTGCGTGAACCTAGCAGACCCGAACCCCAAAAGCCAAGGACTCTTCGGAACTCGCATCTTTCCAGAAGAGGAAGCGCGTCAGGGGTTGGCTGCTGATGATGTTCCGGGGTCACAGCCAATAAGAACAAGCCCGATCTGTCACTGGAGGATGACTTACAGATGGAGACCAAGCAAGACATTGGTTGACAGAAACGCCAACAAAGGTGCAGTCTCTATCAGAACATCTAGTCTCCTTTAGATATTCTGATAAAGAAACGTACAAAAGTCCCCATACATACCTTGCTTTGAGCTGAGCTATGAATTGAAGGTTGGTAGAGATCACATGGTCATTCCATTCAATGCTAGTCAAAATTTGGAAATTTGAGAACTCTCTTATCTTATCGTTCCCCCAGTCACAGCTTCAACCAATGGTAGCCAGGGGACCAATTGTTTATAAACAGACTGTAACAAAACAACATCATCAGCGACCTTACTCACCATCTCTTCATCCCATATATACTGGACAACCATGTCATCCGAACCACCTCCTCCAACCGATAGTGGACTTCTTGATCAAGAAATTATAGCGCTTAAAGAGCAAGGTCAGTCGTTGAACACAATGGCGCATCAAACATGATCTAATTAATGCATTCAATAGCCGCTGCTTTGCGCAAGTCGCTCAAAATCGAAACATCAACAATTCTTGCTGCGCCCTCGACACAAGCTTTTCTCAAGCCATCCAAGAATTCTCTATCATCTCGGAACATCCCATCCCGTACGAAGCTACTGAGCGAAGCCGACAAACAGAAAGCATATAACCAGCAATGTCTTTATCGCATAGGCAGCTCTGTCACTGCTTTCAAGGTCCAAGACCCTGATCCCAATGCAGTTGACGGAGGGCATGTCCTTGGCTTGCGCTTCGAAGTCATGTCCAAGAGCCAGTTCCTGCTCCCTTACTATGTCATGCTTAACAGACCATACTTCAATTCCAAATACCTGCGAATCCACCGAAACACTCTGCCCTCTGCGATACCCATAGCCGGCTTGGCAGCCCGTTATCTCCCGGCACCACGCCCGGAGAGCGACAAGTCTCCCCAGCAAAACCTCGACCGTTTCGTTAGAGCGCTCCGAAGAGAAATCGTGCGGTATCACAACCGACTTGGTGTCTCTGCGGACCTGCGACGAAGCCTCGGATTGCACGACAGTGTGGACGATACAGTTCTGCCTGATGACATTGTCGAGGTTGGAATAGCTGATATTGAGGCCAAACAAATTCGATTCTCTTGGGCTGATGATCGAAGTGGGAGAGTTGTTATGGATAATGACGGAAGGGTTGTCAAACTTATGATGTTTGGCAGAGAAGGCCGTGATTGGGAGACGACGAAGGAGCTCTACGGAAAGTATGAGCGAATCGAAGACGTGGCCAAAACCCTTCAGACATATGTCAATGGTTGAGATCCTTAGTCAACGATAAGTCATCTTGGCCATCAACTAGATTTTGGTGTGGCGCACTGAGCTCCTCTTCAGTAAGGTTCCAATGACGACAAGGGATCTGCATGATACCGCTTTCTCAGAAGGTGACCTGCTTCAAGAGTGGGATCAACTTGAACTCAACTAGCTACAATCACTACTTTGCATGACAGCGAACCGAAGCAGCCGTTATCGCCGCCCCTTCGAGCAATAAAATAAGCCCTTCGACACCTTGAGAACCAGGCACTAGAGAAGCGGTGTCAGGAGGGGTATGATACAGTACAAGCCACAAAGATCACAATGCATTGCACATACTTATCAACCGAGGAAGGGCATTACAACGCTTACTACTTACCGGGGGCCTGGCGTTGTCGACGTGTTGCGCCTGAGACACCTAGCATGGGCTGTTGAACTGTCGGTGTGTCAGCAAACATGGGCGACAACACCAGTTCAAGCACCAAGCTACACGGAGTAACACGATGCTTGATTCACCGACAAGACTGGTCACTGTGTTGCGTGGATAAATGTGCTATTAGGAATCCGAATAAGAGAATATAAGAGTCTCGGGTTCACGGGGTCGTGGTGGGACTCTGCCCTGTGTGATAATGCTTCAGTATCGCCGAGATAGATAGCTCAATTGACACACGGCCAGACGTATTTCTAGTCAGCTACCTCATGCCCACTATCGTTATAGTAGAATGAGCGGATCCTGAACTTTCGGCATGATGGCTTACACCATATCAGCAGACGCCAATGCTAATAGACGAGGCTTGAGAAATACGCCGCGGGCCGTGAGAGTATCTCCGATAGAGCTGCGCTTGGGCACATCTTGTGGCAATAAATACAACTTAGCCCTTTGACAACTCATGCAAATCCCACACGCCACGCTTCAGGTGTTGGCAGAATCTTCTGGTCTAGCATGGTTAGCAAGCGAGCCGTAAACAAGACAACTGACATACCTCAATCTTTTCCGTGCGCACTTATTTATCCATGTTCCTCCGTAGCAGTCTGTGATTCTCCCGTGTTCACCAATCCAACGGCTTCTTTGCCGTCAGTGCAGCCCCGGAACCAAGTGGTTCATCCCTCTCCAACCTAACCCCAGTCTCATCATCCAAGATGCTCCTATCTATCTTCCACATGGCCACTTGCTCATCCACAATCTGCGTCCATTTCCTCACAAGTGGATGCGCATCAGCTACATCTGAGAACACGACATCTTCGGCCCCTGTGACTGGAGTGACTTCATATTTCCAGTTGCCATCTTCAGACCAATACTCAGGCGTAAACAAGCCTTGTGTACTAAGTTCTTCGCGTGCTTGTTCCAGGAGTTCGGCGATCTTGGAAGAATCTGATTCGTTAAGACCACGAACCGCTTCGTTGATGCCTTCGAGCAAACCCAGAATTTGACCTGCTCTCATGCCAACGCTTGCTCCAAGACTGAACCCCTCGTCAAATCCAGCTTGAATACTGCTTTCTTTTGAAACGGTAATACCCTCACGGTATCCAGCAGTTGTGTGCTCTGTTTGCAGGCGGCGAATGTCTGAGGGGTGTGATATTGATGACTCATCGTCATGACGAAAATCTGATGGGGATGAAGGTTCCGAGCCAAAAACGTCGTCTAGAGCATCATTGGTAGCTACAGTATCAGCTTGTGGTTCGTCTTGTGGACGAGCGGTAAATGCCTCGTCAATCATTTGTTCGACTGGTTGAAAATGCATGGTTGACATTGAAAGTGGTCAAGGTTTAGGGTACGTGGGTTGAGTTCTGATGAATATTTTCGACGTCGTTTGAGTGGAACTCTTTGGGTGGCGCCAAGAGGTGAAACCCTTGTATGTATCTGCAGGAACTGGAGGGTGATCAGCCTTGGTATCTTTGGCTTATAAGTTATCCGTGTAAGAGGTCAGTTTAGCAGTATTCTTGAGATTTTCAGATGAGGTCTTGCGCTTGCAGTTTCTGAGCCTGGAATAACCCAAAACTATGAAAAATGGCACGTTAAACTGGGGAAAGCTTGGTAATCATCATTCATCATGGCTAATCCTATTCTGCCAACTTGCACATACTACGAAGGATCATAACGTTTACTATCCTGGCCAAGTCCCGAGACACTATCCAGACAGTACCATCATTCTAAGAAGCAACTGCTTGCTCACCGGCATGTGCAGGCATCCTCCCCTCGGCGTTCGTCGGCTGCAACATGTGATATTTTTCGCGGAGATAATCCTTCTGATTCTCTCTCATCAACCCCAATTCTAGCAAAAAGTTGACCACGTAAAGAAAGTCCTTGACATGTGGTCGCAGTCCATCCTCTGCTTGGCTGTGCCCCGAAGGGAGAGCGAGGACGTCGGCAATTGTGCTGGCGATCTCAAAAAGCTTTTGTATAATACCGCTGCCTTGCGTCGCTATACTCACAATACTATCCAACTGCCCAACCAAGCTGCGGAGTTGTATTGATAACCGAGACGCCGGAAACTGCAGCGATAGACCTTCGTGCGTCGTATCTGAAGACCCTGAACGCAAAAGCCCTTGCGAGAGCGCTAATTGCCAGAGCAATGTGCGAAGCCAGAGTCTAGTGATAAAGAGATCCGCACGCTGTAGTTCTGTGAAACCTGCGTGTCCCTCGGAATGCATCCTTGCCTCGGCAGCTGCAGCATTCATCTCAGCTTGGTCAAGCTGCACCTGCTTGCTTTCAATCCACTGCACCGTCAACCCGCCGATTGCACCTCTTTGAGACTGCCAACATGCGAGGAACGTCTCATCCAAGGTTAGGAACAGTTCTATTAGGCAGTTGAAGCCCACTCGAATATGTTCCGGTGTAGAAGAGTCCGGTGCTGAAAGATTGGTGTG